TGCAGCTGAGCCCCCAGCTGGGGGGCTTGGCCCAAGGTAGGGGGGACACACATTTCTCCGGGGGAGACATGAGGCTGGCTGTGCTTGGGGCTGGATGTCATTTGCAGTTTGAATGACCCTAAAAAGCCCTGGTCCCACCCCAGTCTTCCCCAGTCCAAGAGCACCCAGGTGTGTTTATGGGCAGGGGGGACAAAATGGGGCCCTGCTCTGGACTCCTGGCGAGCAGTGGGAAGCGGCGGCGGGGGGGAATCTATCTGTCCCCAGGGTCTGTCCCCAGTCCCCCCAGTCCCCTGCTCCATCCCAGGACCAGGCAGGGAATCAGTGAATCACCGCGGGCCTTGTGGGAAGAGAGGGAGAGCAAACAGCAGGGCTCACCCCAGGAATCTGGGCTGGGGGACACAGGATACAGCTTGGGGTCCAGGGGAAGCTGGCTTTGAACCTGACCCAAAGCAGAAGGAGCCCAAGTGTCCTAGGGAAGTGGAACTGAGTGGGAGGGAAAAAATGTGAGTTTCCCACAGACTGGGAAGGAGCAGAGCCAGGCATCCCAGGGGGAGAGGAAGAAGGGCTCATCAGGGGACAGGGCCCAGGTGTCCGGGAGGAGGGGAGGAAAGAGGAGAGGGACTCACCTGGCTCCAGCATTGCCATGGCTGGACCTGATCCGGATGTGGTGCTGGGGCTCCCCAACCCTGGCACTGAGCTCTAGGACCGGCCTGTCTTAAAGGTCCCCTCCTGGCTCCCCCGCCTCCCAAGAAGGAGAAGGAGGAGGAGGAGGAAGTGCTTCTTCCCCACCCTCCGACCTGCGCTGGGAGCGAAGGCTCCCTGCAGGGGGTGGGTGACACGAGCGCGCGCAGCCTCAGCCCCCGCGCCCCACGCTGTGCACGGAGCGGGGCAGCCCTGCACCTTCCCGGGGCTGCGAGCATCTCCCTGCTGCACGCACGGGTGCCAACACGAGGGCCCCGCGCCGCTGCCGGCAGCCCGGAGTGCACCCCGGGTGCGGGAGCCTGTCCGCTTGTGCCCCCCTCACGTGCTCCTTGCACAGGGCAGCCAGGGGACAGGGACAGGCGTCTCCACGGCCCCGAGTGCCCGCGGGCGCCGCGGCGGGGGGGGAAAGGGTGGGGGCGCGGAGGAAGCAGGCGTGGGTGGCGAAAGACCGGGGGCAACGCGCGGGTG